CCTCCTAAATAAAGTTCCTAAGTTTTAATATCATAAAAGGGAATTTTCATTTTTTTTTTTATCAAGAAACCAGTTTTAATCTGGAAATTTCATTTAATGCAGTCCCTTTTTGGACAAGCCGTCCAAAAAGGGGCCCAAGCCGGTTCCAATGATCATTACCACAGCCAGGTGAAACAACTTTTGGTGGTTCCCCACCAAGAGTTGTCCACAACTGGTTGTGGGTAAATGACACTCTTGATGGTTCCCCACCAAGAGGTGTCCACAACTGGCTGTGGGTAGATGATTTCAGAGATGGACTGCCACCATCCAACGTCCTCCACTGGTGCTGGGCAGAAGTAGTTGTATGCTGAAAAAGAAAACATTTTGTTATTTGTAAAGAATGAAAGGAGACAGCCATTCTGCTACCAGCTGGTTCAAAGCTCTTGGCTCTGATCTTTCCCAGATTATCCATACCCGTTTACAACTGGTTTGACTGGAATGCTGACGAAGGGTGACTTAACTCAATGTCACCAGACTTTCACACAATGGCCAAGATTAGAACTCACAATGTTTAAAAATAGGTGCTTGTGTTACTCTTTGTAATGGGAGAGACTCATCCTTCAAGAGACAAGAAACAACTTCAGAATGACTTGTCCTCTGACATTGTAAGAATTTTAGATTCTGGAAATTGGACAAGTCTTTGACTAGAACATACTGCTCCCAAGGAACACAGTCTCAGAAAACTCACCCAACTTACAATCCAGATCGTCCAAATCAAGCACTTACCCATTGGAATAATACATGACAGCAAAATTCCACCGAACAGCAGCACCAAGATCATTAAATTCAATCCTTCTTCATCATCTTCATCTTTTTCTTCTTCTTCTTCTTCTTCTTTTTCTTCGTCTTCTTCTTCCTCCTCTTCTTCCTTTTCTTCTTCTTCTACAATATGATCTTCTTCTTCTTCAACATTATCTTCTTCATCATTGATATTATCAGCTACTTCTTCATCAGCATCCCCATCTTCATCATCTTCATCATCTTCATCATCGCTATCATCATCATCACTATCATCATCATCATCATCTTCATCATCATCATCTGGAATTCAAAATAACAGAAGCATTATTATTTCTAATATCAAAAACTGACTGACAATATATCTGACCTGACAGATACGTGGTAAATTGGTGGAGATCGACCATAAACGTGCTATATAGGAACAACTCAAACACTCACCACTTGTTTGGGGATCTTGTGAAACATCCCGAAGATCGGGTATGCAAACACACCAACCTGTAGTATAATAAATAGATTATTAAGAGTGAATTCTTTCATTCAATTGACATGAAATGGAGATTTACGTCCCTGTTTTTCAATTGGGCAACACCAGCAGTGTGAAAACTCAAAGTATATATTGGATAGAATTGCATGGCTGCAATGTATCAGGCACACTGATGGCATCGATTTGCATCATTCCAATTTTCAGTCTGACTTGCGTGGTTCCTGCAATTCAACTAAATCCCAAAGATATTATTTGCAGCTTTTGCGATAGTGCCTCTAAAAGTCGGTCTCGTGTCTGTTTTAAACCTATATCTACTTGCCTAACTGAAAGACAAAGTACATTGAAGTTACCCAGAAAGTCAAATTATCAAATGATCCTTACCGTATCCCTCAACGAACCTGTACTCGAGGGCTTCCTTCGGTATAGCAACCGAAACGAAGCCGCCCTCGTCCGTTTTGTCGCTTACAACTCGAAAGTTGTAAGCGTTCTCATTGGGTAAATCTAAAATTAAACAAATTAAGGCTGTGTTTATTGTTTTTGCATCTTCATTTGTGTCAAAAGAGTCTTGGAAGGCTGGCGTCACCACTAGAAATACCACGACTCTTTCTTGTTCCAAAATTATATGTTCTTGTTTGCCACCCCGGCCAATCTCTTCAAACAAGAAATGAATTGATCCTTACCCATCTCCACAATATCAAGCTCTTACGACTTTTCGTCTTATACCTTGACTGCAATAGCCACTATTCCTGTATCACGAAATGTAGCGATTTGACTGAATCGTACATCAATGAATACAGCCAATCAGGACCCTCGACAGAAAGTACGTAAACATTATGGACTTTTGTTCACAAGCTTTCAGTCGAGATCTATGATTGGCTGTATCCGCTAGCTTACAATCCAATCAAATTCCAATCCGATAAAGGAAGGTGGCTATTACAGTCAAGGTATAAGTACGAAGTTTCGTAATAGTATTACTAATACATGTAGCTTGAAATTGTGAAGATGATCCTTACCCAATTTCCACTTCCTTCTTCTGGTGGCATCTGAAATATCAAAATGGAATGTCTGTTATATTTCTTCTTACAGCTGGTCAAGATCACCAGACGACTCCTCTTCCAATTTCTCAATGAAGTATCTGTTTCATTCAAACATTATGGCTTATTGTATACAGACTTTCTGTCAAGAACTCTGATTGACTGTATTCGCTTTTGTACAATCCAATCAAATCGCTCCCTTTACAAACTTTCCTGATGCAAGAATAGTAGTGGTTATTACAGTATTAGTTGACGAAGTTAGGCACTTACCTTGACCTTGACCTTGACTTGGACCTTGACCTTGACCTTGACCATGACTTGGACCTTGATCTTGATCTTGACCTTGACCTTGACTTGGGTCTGGACCTTGATCTGGAGTTGGGTCTGGACCTTGACCTGGACTTGGGTCTGGATTTAGGTCTGAACCTGGACTTGGGTCTGGACCTTGACCTGGACTTGGGACTGGACTTAGGTCTGGACCTGGACTTAGGTTTGGACCTGGAGATAAAATAGTTTTTGATCAATGTCATTTGCCTTACGAGTGAGTGAAAGACAATCCCATCCAATAGTTCTGTCAAATGGGACTGAAACAGTAGGCCTTCTTTGGTAAAAGTCACACATGGACTTCAATGTCTCAACAAAATGAATGGAGGTCCTTGAACTTTAGTGGGTTGAGCCTCCTCCCTCGGGTAGTTCAAAAGATGATAAAGTTAATTGCTCTAAGCTGTTTAAGATTGCTTGGCAAAGAAACCCGTTATATAACCAGTCTTTCAAGTTGGGGAAAGTTGATAAACCCAATGGCAGAATGCCATCAGCCTTTCTAAAGTTAGAGAAAAGGTATCCCAAGTGACATGGTAAGTAGGCTAAGCACCCTGATTTCTTGAAAAAACCAATAACAGACTATATGACAAGCTTCAGTTAATTCAGATAGCAATTGATGGGAGCTAACTCTTATTAGATTTTCAGACCACAAAAACTCTTCTTAAACCTCTATAACAGGCTGAGTTTGGTTTCAATGATGTTATTTGTGGTTCACATCTTTGCCCCTTTGCTCAAAATTCCACCTTAAGTAAGGTTCTTCAAGCTCTAGCCTACGTAGGCCTATGTCTAGGCTAAGGCTAGGCTATAAGTTGGGTTAAGCCTCGCTAATAGGCCTATTATTTATAAATTCACAAAGTATAAAAAAAAAAACGAAGTAGGCTAGGCTTAAATTTCCTACTTTTTTCAATCTTTTTCTTTTGTAGTAAGTTCTAGCCTTATTTCCTAAAGCGTTTAAATATTTTAAAATAAAGCCTTATTTAGTCGTTATTGAAATAAGCCTAGCTTATCTTACCAATCTCAATGGCGCATTGGACCTCAAATTTTAAATCAAGTTTTTTTTAATTA